TTTTTTTTGGAGAGATTTTCACTGTAGGGCGCGTGCGCTCGCCAGACAGACAGAGAGAGACATAGAGACAGAAAGCGAGAAATCACCCCCCAGGGGGGATGGTCACGCCGCAATCCCTTCTCCTCCATTCTCCTCTCGGGATCTTGGGCACGCACGCACACGCGCCCGGCGTGAGTTCTAAGCCACCGGGTTCGGGACACGAACCGCGGTCAACTACGTGGGAGTCCAGCAACATAGCCATTACGCTAACTGCTGGTTCCCTCTCTCTCTCTTTTTTTAAGAGACCATGTGCACTCACCAGAGAGAGAGGGAAAGGAAAAAGCACCTCTGTGGGGAATGGCCACGCCACAATCCCTTTTCCTCCATCTCTCCCCCTGTTAGTACACTGGGCGCACACACACACAAATACCAAGCGTTTTTCTCAAGCTGCTGGGTCTTGCAGTTGCCCATATGGGATCCAGCTGCCTTAACCACCAGGCCAGAAAGCCAGCCCTCTATTTCCTTGGTTTTTTTTTTTTTTTGAAGATTTTTGCTACAGGGCATGTGCACTTCCAGAGAGACAGACAGAAAGTGAGAAATCACGCCCCCAGGGAGGCTGTCCACTCCAAAAATCTCTCCTCCTCCATTCTCTCGGGGTTCCGGGTGCACACACAAATACCTGGCCTGAGTTTCAAGTCACCAAATCTGGACTCCAACCACAGTCAACTATGAGCGAGTCCAGCGCCCCGACCACCACATCACCTGCTGGCCCCTTTGATTCTTAAATGCGATTTTGATATTTTAATCTCTCTGTAATTGGGAACTAGGTCTAACTTTGTTTGGCATTTTTTTCCTCAGATGTACATAAAACATATCAGACAACAATTAGTATCTTAGAGTCAATGAAATACAGTAAATGTCAATATAGAGCCCGCCCCATGATGCAGAGGTGATGCACTGGTCAAGACAGGCCAGATCTCATGACCATCTTGGTTCAAATCCCTGCCCAGTTAGCCTGAAACATGCCAGGCACATGTATGAGTGCCCAAGATCCGATGGGCTGGAGGACTGGAGGGAGGGGTTGCAGCATGACTGGGTCACACGGAAGGTGCTCATCTCTCTCTCTCTCTGTCTGTCTCTCTGTCTGGTATGTGCACACTTGCTCTACCATGTACAAAGGGAAGGTTTTTTTTTGGAGGGGAGAGGTTTTTTGCTATAGGGCACGTGCGTTCGCCAGAAAGACAGAGACAGACAGACAGAAAGCGAGAAATCACCCCCCAGGGGGGATGGCCACGCCGCAATCCCTTCTCCTCCATCCTCTTCTCGGGATCTCGGGCATGCATGCACACATGCCCGGCGTGAGTTTAAGCCACCGGGTCTGGGACTTGAACTGCAGTAGATTACATGGGAGTCTAACAACATAGCCATTATGCCATCTGCTGGTCGCCAAAGGGAAAAAGTTTTTAAAAAGTCTATCACTGTAAAAGGTACCTCCCATCTCTCAGAGTGCACGCACATGGGCAGCTGCTTCCAATGCCGTTAGCTGAGTTGCCATTCTGCCTCCGTGTTTCTAAAGACTGTGCCCTACACTTTCAATTTCTTGATTTGTGAATTTTAGGCATCATCGCATAAGATTATGGTATGCTCTCAAAATATTGGGTCTTTGGAAAACTCATGACGTATTTTTCTGTGTCTCTATGCAAAAATGTGTTACGTTTCCAATGACATAATAGTATGTCAGTTTTGTTTTGTTTTGTTTTGAACATCTATGTCAACAGTTATGACAACTCATTACTGAGTACCACACTCACGGCTGAGCCAAAGTGCGCTACGGTCACTTTTCTTTTCTTGTTCAGTGTGGCTGGCCCTGGTGTTTTTCCTTTTCTGTCTTCAACGTTCTGCGTATCTATCACTAACTCTTCCAAAACTTATTCTTTTTTTTTTTGAGAGGTTTTTGCTATAGGGCGCGTGCGCTCGCCAGACTGACAGAGAAACAGAGAGACAGAAAGTGAGAATCACCCCCCAGGGGGGATGACCACGCCACAATCCCTTCTCCTGTAGTCTCCTCTCGAGATCTTGGGCACGCATGCACACGCACACGCACCCGGTGTGAGTTTAAGCCACCTGGTCTGGGACTCGAACCACGGTCGACTACATGGGAGTCCAGCGACAAAGCCATTACGCTAACTGCTGGTCCCTTTCCAAAACTTATTCTACCAGCCTAAAACAATGCCTTCTTCATAATGAAATACCAGAAATGCAGCAGGACATCTCCCTCTCCTCTTGTCTCAGCCTGCTATGCAGTCACTGCCCTCACACTCTCCTTGACCAAGCCCAGATTAGGTCCCGGTTTCCTAGACTCTACCTTCTTCCTCTGTGAGGATACTCGATTTTAGAGTGCGCATTCCAATGGTGAGCTGCGGCAGGACACGGGATATATGTGACTCTGCATTTTCTAAAGTGCCTCATGCTTGACAGGCAACCTGGTTGGGTTAATCCTCAGCTGACAACCTTTTTCTCTCAATTCTAAAGGTATCTCAGAAACTAATACCATTCTGATTTCTTTTTTTTTTATTAAATCTTTTTTTTAACTATTTATTTTATTTATTCATTCATTTATTTGAATTTGACCAGAGAGACACACACAGAGATAGAGAGAGGGAAAGTGAGAAAGCAAGCCACCAGGTCCAGGACTTGAACCATGGTCAGCCATGTGGGAGTTTCTAGCACCTTAACCACCACGCCACCTGCTGGTCCCCTACCACTCTGATTTCAGATCTTTAGCAAGCATTTGGGCCTGGTATTTTGAACACAATCCTGAATCTTAATGGTGTTCTTTTTCATTGATTGAGCTGGATATGAGGTAAACCACTTTAATCTGAATCATGTCCTTCAAGTCAAGGGACATTAAACAATTTTTTGTATTCTTTCTTTTAAGATTTCTTCCCCCACCGAAGTCTTCTCTGTTTAAAACTACTGTTTGTTTGTAGTTGGATGTTGGACTTTCTGGACTTTTCATCCTAAATCTCTTCTCATGTCATCTATCTCTATTCTTTGGCCCTGCTTGCTGAGATATTCTCAACTTTACCATCCAATGCTTTCATTGGAATGTTTACTTCGGTGATCTTTTTAAATTTTTCAAGAGTTCTTTCTTTAGTCTTAGGATGTTCCTTTTTGGTGGCATCCTGATCTTTTTATATGCACAATAGCTTATCTTTATAGCTCTTGCAGACATTTTCTTCCACTCTCTGTGTCATTATTGCTTCTTTCAAGCTCTTTTTCTTATGTTGGGCTCTGACTTGCACATTAGGGCTGTCTTCAAAAGCCAGATGACCTTCCTTGCTGAGGTGAGCGAAGCTACACAAGTGGAGGGCTTCCACGGCTGATTGAGTTGTGCACAGTGGTACAGCCTACTGAAGTCCCACGGCTTTTAAAATGAACCCACGAGGAGGAGGAGAACAGGGTAAGAGAATAGCACTATGGGCTTCTGACATGAGAAAACCAATAGGCTGCTGGTGTCACAGCAACTCCAGGGAAGTGAGTCACCACCATTCAACCCCATCGACACTGCAGACTCCTTACAATGCTAAGAACTTACAGTGTCAAGTGCACTTAAAGCTGGAGGTGAGCAGCATGCAGATGAGGGGAGCTAAGATATGGAAGGCAGGAGGAAACCTGTTGCAGGCTCCCAAGGTCCCTCCTAATCCATGCTCCCAAGTCTCAGCTCTTATTCTCTAGAGAGTTAATCGAGGAATTTCTGGACAAGGTATTCCAGAAGAATTGAGGCCTGAGCACCAATCTAAATGAAGGGTAAGGGGCACATACTTTCTGAATGCCAAGACCACCTAGCCCTTCCCACTACCAGTCTTTTCCCGCAGCAGTAGCCAGACCCTTAGCAGCCTGGAGATCAGAAGACTCTTTCCTTAAAAATGATGAACAGCTCAAGAAGAGAACAATACCACCATCAGTGTTGCGGTCAACATATGACGACACTCAAAGTCAACAAGTCTCACAGCAGGTGGTGAGGTGGTTAAGGGTGCTGAATGCCCACATGGCTGACTGCAGTTCGAGTCCTGGACCTGGCAGCTTGCTTTCTTGCTTTCTCTCTCTCTCTCTCTCTCACTCTGTCCTTCTCTGGTCAAATTAAAATAAATAATTAAATAAAGTTAAATAAAAATAATTATTAAAAAAAAATAAAATAAAATAAAACTGGGACCTGCAGTTGGCGTAATGGCTATGTCCTTGGACTCCCATGTAGTCACCCACGGTTCGAGTCCTGAATCCGGTGGCTTAAACTCACGCGGGGCACGTATGCGTGCGTGCCCAAGATCCTGAGAGGAGACTGGAGCAGGGATTGCAGCGTGGCCATCCCCCCTGGGGAGTGATTTCTCACTTTTTTTCTCTCCGTCTCTCTTTCTGGTGAATGCACACGCCCTATAGCAAAAATGTCTCCCTCAAAATAGAAAAAGAAAATAAAACAAAAGAGAGCAGGGAACCAACAGTTATATAATGGCTATGTCGCTGGACTCCCACATAGTCGACCGCGGTTCGCATCCCGGACCTGGTAGCTTAAAACTCACGCCGGGCACGTGTGCATGTGTGCCCAAGATCCCGAGAGGAGAATGGAGGAGAAGGGATTGTGGCGTGACCATCCCCTCTGGGGGTTGATTTCTCGCTTTCTGTCTCTAAGTCTCTCTCTGTCTGTCTGGCGAGCGCACACACCCTATGGCGAAAACCTCTCAAAAAAAAAAAAAAAAGAGAGAGAGAGAGCAGCTTAGAAGAAACAGATTATGCAGGGGAAAAGAAAAACAGTCTAATTACCGAAAACAGAAAGACTACATCCATGAAACAGCAGGCTACCATAAAGCGGTACAGCACTAAGAAGAGCTCTGACAGGTTAAAAACATGACTACAACAGGAGGATTCAAAACTAAAGGTAAGGAAATTCTCGGAAAGTAGAAAAGGTAGAAACAAACAAACAAACAAACAAACAAACAAAAAAACAGGTGAGAAAAAAGCAGAGAACCATTCCAGGAGGTCCCAGTCTGAATGCTTGGAGACCCAGAAGGAGAGACTGAATAGAGGAGGAGAAACCAAGGGCAAAATAATTAAAGAGAATGTCCCAGAACTTAGAGGTTTTAGACCGAACAATAAGAGATTCATATCAAGGTACATCACTAGGAAATTTTGGAATTATGACAAGAGAGGGAACACTCTACCAGCTCCCACGGAAAAAAACACGGCAAACGCAGAAAGTCGGAAACCATAATGTCTGTAGGTTTCAACAGCAACGCTGGGAGCAAGGTGGCAACAGAAGAGCATCATCAAATTACTGAATGAGATGCACTCCCTGCCTGGACGTCCACCCAGTGTCCTTCCTCAGAAACTACTCGAGGACATACTCCAAAGCAACAAGAGTAAACCAAGAAAGAAAATATGAGATACAGGGCATGGGAGATCCTCCACAGGAGAGGAATTCTGGGAAGGTCCAGAACAGGGTGACAGCTGGGTATCAGGCACAGATGACCACCAGTCCAGACCAGGACAGAACTGCCAAGAGACAGGCGCAGGCCCTACCTGTGGTTCCTGCTGCCCTGCACCACCTTTTTAACTAGGGACAGAGCAAGGCGACCCTGGCCTAGCTAACTTGTCTGCATTTAGCTTGTCTTGACCATGTACTTATGAAGTACTCTCTTTTCTTTGTCAGATCAGCTGAAAACATTCATTCCACAGAAGGATTCTGCTGACTTATTCCTGAGAGCTGGAAGCAGTTGACACAGACCAGCCCCACTCCTCTGGCCTCCGTCTGGCCCAGTTCCTGGCCCTGGCTAAAGTCCTCGCCAGATGTTCTGATGAGGGTGAGCCTCTCCTTTCTTAGCCTCACAGTGACCTTGTGCAGAGGGTTCCTGTAAACTCTCAAGGAAAGTGAAGCCACATGGGAGGCCCAGGTTCAGTTCCCTGCTTAACCTGAACAGGCCTGGCACAGTGGCATGCACCTGTGGTCCTAGCCAGGGCAGCTGGGGCAAGATGATCACGACATGGCGAGACCTTGTCAAATACACCCACACAAACCCTCCCACCCACACCTGCTTGCTCTCTCATTAAAAACAAAAACAAGTTAACTATGCATTTGCTATACTTCCCTACATATATCTCACGATAAATTTGCTTCCGTCTGACTGAAGCTCTCAGTGTCAGAAGCAGGGTTTATGGCGAGGTGAGATTCCCTGTTGGGGATCAGGCAATGAGCCAGCTTTTCAGTGAAAGGTCCCCAAATGTCAGATGTCCAGGGGTCATTTTCCCTAGAAGAAGTCCAGTTCCCTGAGTGGGGCACAGAAGCCTGGCTGCCAGAGAGAGGCAGGAAGAAGGAGCTGAGCTCCTCACCTCTCAGATAGGAGATCTTGAATTCCCTCCTTCACGGCTCGACCTCGGCCCCTCTCTCCACTGTGCCTGGTATCCACACAAGAAACCTCATAGAACTGATTTCTGCCGAGACCAACCTTGGGAGCTCTGGTGGCCCCACAGAGGACAGCAGTCACCAGGCTAAGCAGGATGGAGACGGAGCCCAGGGAGGCCAAGCACGAGACATGCAGCTTTTCTGTAATCCACTTGTTCTCTGCCATTCACTTCACTCAATCACTGGACCGCTGAGGGGGAAGGCTTTCTGGGGCTCTGGGAGATAGGCACATGTACTGTAATGTCCCTCCATGCTGCTAAAGGAGTTACTATGCTCAAATTGGGAGGAACAGGACTGAGACTCATGATGTTTTAGCTGTACAAGTCCTTCCAAATGGAAGGATTCTGTAAGCAGAATGTCTGTATTTCCAAGAAATATCTCAACAGGGACATCACCTAGACCTCATTTTCACTCTCAAGGAGACTCTCATTTCTGTACCTTCGAGGGTCCAGTTCATGGTCCTTGGATCCAGTCACCAATTCCGGATGAATCCGCACATGCTCCATCATCGGCTAGAAGAGTTGGAGTTGACAAGTTAGAAGGGGCTGAATTTTTGTGACATATCCATGATGAAATATTATTCGATGATTAAAAGGAATGAAGTTCTGATACATGTTATGACATGGACGAACTTGGAAACATTATGTTAAATAAAAGAAGCCAGGCACAAAGGCCCCATGATATATGAGCACATTTATGTGAAATGTCCAGGATGGGCAAATCTATAAAGAAGCAAGTAGATTAGTGGTTGCCTAGGGATGAAAAGGGGCTTGGAAAGACGGATGAATTTCTTTCTAAAATTCCCATCTGCCATCTATACAAAAGTTATAAACGTAGCCTGCCTAAGTAGTACACTGTCTCGGGACCAGCAGCTGGCGTAATGGCTATGTCACTGGACTCCCATGTAGTCGACCGCGGTTCAAATCCCGGACCTGGTGGCTTAAACTCACGCCGGGTGCGTGCGTGTGCGTGTGCGTGCGTGCCGAGGATCCCGAGAGGAGAATGGAGGAGAAGGGATTGCGGCGTGGCCATCCCCCCTGGGGGTTGATTTCTCGCTTTCTGTCTGTCTCTGTCTGGTGAGCGCACACGCCCTATAGCAAAAACCTCTCAAAAAAAAAAAATAGTACACTAAGTCTCAAATAAATGAGGAGCTTCAACTTACCTTGACCACTTCTTCAAAAGTCTCCAAGTTTTCCTTCATACTGTAGTGAGAACGCAGAAAGGAGACAAAGTTGCAAGGGTACATCCCATAGAGGCGATGAAAAAGCGCATAGACACTGGCGTGGAGGTGGACAAGGTAGATTTCTGTCACGTGGCCTGAGAAGGGAACCGTTGACAGGACACTTTTAGTCAGACATAAGATGGTGTGTAAAAGCTGCTAGCACGGCGTTTTACTCATATATACTTCCACCGCATGCCCAGACATCAGAGTCGTCTAGAATGCAAATCTGAACACATCAGATACCTCTACTGAAAACCCATCAGTGGCTTCTGATGCCATTTTTAGGTAAACTCAATCTACCTAGTGTGACCTATAAAGGCTTGTACTGATCTGATCTCTGCCCTCCTCTCCAGCAGTCCCCCAAGAAAGATACCAAACGTTCTCACAATGCTGAACTGCTCTCTGATGACAGCTGTTCTCCCTGAAACCTGTGATGATACTTCTCCACAGCCTCAGTCAGCATGCGTGTCTTGAGAAAAGGGCTGCTTCGCTTTGCACCCTCAGTGCCTTGCACTGTGCCTGCGTATAACAAGCACGGAAGGATCTGAGAAATGGATGTGTGGGGAACTTTTAATCAACATGTAACCTAACTATCCAGATTTGTAACCAGAGTAAAACGCTAGTATCCATATGTTAGTTTAAAGAGCTGAGGGAGAAAGTGAGAGTTCAGTTCATCTGGCCTTACCAAGGCCCTACAGAACCCTCTAAGTTCACAGTACACACAACGCTCTCCACAATCAAGACTCCTCCCTCCCACAGGCGATCCGACTGAACAGAACATCACATCGGTCTGGGCTTGTCACTTGCTCCTAAACAGGAGTCTCACCTGTCTCACACATTTCATCCTTTTTATATGAACATCTCGCACAAGTGTTACTAAAAGATACACATGCTTCTATCTTCTAAATCACTTTGATAGAACTGTGCTATCTGCCGATACGGGGAAAAAAAAAAAAATCCCACTTGCAACTGAAACCGGAACGCTCAAGAGGACATGCATTTTCCTGCCTCTCTCTACACACACCACGAACAAGGTCTCAGAACCAGAAGTCTGTGTCTGTCACCACAGAGTGGCAGAGTAAGATGAAACTGTCTGGCAGGCTCAGTCCTATACTGCTACGATAGAGGAGGAAGGTGCTCCTGAACATAACTACTCAAAATCAAGCCGTCTCACATCCCTTCAGTTTCTCTGACGGCTAATTCTTTTAGACAGGGAATAAGGTATCTCAGTAGCCATGTATCTTACAGAAGGTATTCCTGATCTATTGAAGTAAAAACCACTCACTTCAGCTATTACATTCTACATAACTTTCCCTTACAGCTCATGACCTGTTACTCAATGAAGAAAGCATTCAGGCCGGCTCCGTGGCCTAGTGGTTTAAGACAGCCAGATCCCACAAGGCTACACATGGTTCAAGTACAAGACTCAGTGGTTAGAGAAACATACCAGGTGTGTGTGCACACATGCCTAAAATCCCAAACATGGGTGCTTCTCCCTCTTCCTGTGCCTCCCTTTGGCAAGTGCATGTGCCCTCTGGCAAAATGAGAAAAAAATAAATAAATAATGAAAGCATCCACCTGGTAGGGTCTGACAGGTATACAGAGATCTATACCTGGCTTCTTTTTCATTCTTTCTTTCTTTCTTTCTTTCTTTTTTTTTCCATGTGTGCACCAGACAGAAACGGTGAGAGGGAAAGTGAAATAGCGCCCTTCAGGATGACCACAATCCCTTCTTCTCCATTTTCCCGGGATTTGGGGCATGTAAGCACATGTACCCAGCGTGATTTCCCAGCCACCAGGTCTGGGACACAAACTGTGGTCAACCACATGGGAATCCAGTGCCTTAACTACCATGTCACCTACTGGCCCCTATACCTGGTTTCTTCAGGCACCATGATGAGAGACGACCAAAAATATCAAAGAAATCGAGAAGGTGCTGTTTCCCAGACTGTGGAATCATCGGTAGCATGGTTATCAACACTAAGACGCCCGTTGTTAGGACGACGACATCTGTGTCCACCTGCGGGAGGAAAGGTCAGGAAGAAGCACCTGTCAGACACAGCGCCACACAGCACATGAAGAGGTGCTAATACGAGGAGGTCACTGAGCGGGTGTTCCCTCACATGCTCACCTCCCTATCCCTAAGGGCTCCAAGGGAAGATCACTGAACAGACTCAACAGGAAAACTTCTGAGCCCAGCTCTACTGCAATAAACCTGGGAGGGCCGTTTTCAATACTCACCTAGAGTACTACACAACCTAATTGGGGAGCTGCATGTAGAGCTGACGTGGGGACTCCCAAGGACTGAAGATGCCCTACTACAGCACTTGGATGAAAGCACAAGTTGTTTTTTAACAACACAGGAGTGCTGCTCTGCTTTTGTTCATTCAACCAAATCCTAAAATATTTATTTTTTTAAGTCAATTAGAAAGAGTAAACAGAGACCAGCAGTTGGCATAATGGCTATGTCGCCATTTGTCGACACATAGTCGACCACGGTTCGAGTCCTGGACCTGGTGGCTTAAACTCACACCGGGCGCATGTGCATGTGTGCCCAAGATCCAGAAAAGAGAATAGAGTAGAAGGGACTGTGGCGTGGCCATCCCCCCAGGAGGGTGATTTCTCGCTTTCTGTCTCTCTCTATCTTTCTGGTGAGCGCATGCGCCCTATAGCAAAAGAATAAATAAATAAACCTCTCCAGAAAAGAAAACAAAAAACAACAGGACCAGCAGCTGGTGTGGTGGTTAACGCACTGGATTCCCACATGGCCGACCACGGTTTGAGTCCCGGACCCTGTAGCTTAAAATTCACGTCAGGTGTTGTGTGTGCATTCCCAAAATCCCAAGAGGAGAATGGAGAAAAGGGGACAAAAGGACTGTGGCAGGATCATCTCCCCCAGGGTGTGTGTGTGTGTGTGTGTGTGTGTGTGTGTATAATTTCTCACTTTCTTTCTCTCTCTCTCCCTCAAGCAAACACATGCATCCTATGGCAAAAATGTAAAACAAACAAAAATACCTTGCATTGACAATGAATTCACTATTTCTCAAAGGACTACAACAGAAGTAAAAGCAAAGAAGAAATTTGAACAGTGATAACAAATGAACGTAATGGCTCACTTCATAGCACTATTTAGAGACCAACGAACTAAAGAAGTTATGGTAACCGCTAACCATATCTCTAGTTTAACTATGCAGTCAAGTAACTTTAAGCTATTTGAAGACAGTTAATGCCTGATGGGAAATGAGTCAACCCTAACTAGCTACGGCAGCTCACCTGACCCGTAATTAAATCATAGATGTTAGCTAGGAAACTGAAATTCAGATTTACAGAACAAGTTATTAATCAAAAGACACCATGTAGCTAAAACAGCCATTATTCCTATTACAAAAGGAATCTTTAGCATCTGAGAGTCATCTTTTTCTATGTTTTTGCCGTAGGGAACATGAGTGCACCAGAGACAGACAGAAGCAGTGAGAGGGAAAGTGAGAAATCACCCATTGTGGGGAATACCACATCTTTTCCCCCAGTCTTTTCCTGGGATTTTGGGCATGTACAAATGCTAGTGTGATTTTCAAGTCACCAGATCTGGGACCTGAACTGTGGTTGGCCATGTGGGAATCCAGCGCCTTAACCACCATGCTGGCCTCTCCAAATTTTTTTTTTTTTAATTTTTTTGCTATAAGGCACATGCGCTCACTGGAAAGATGGGCTGGGGGGTGTGGGGAGTGAGAAAACAGGTTCCAGGGTGGATGGCCATACCACAGTCCCTTTTCCGCCCATCTCCTCTCAGGATTTTTGGCATATACGGACACACACACACACACTCCTGGCGTGTTTTTCAAGCTACAGAGTCCAGGACTCAAACTGTGCAGTTGGCCATGTAGATCCAGATGCCCCAATCACTACGCCACAAGCTGTCCCTATATTTAATTTTCACATCAAGCACCAAGCCTTTTATGATACTTAGTAATAATACAAGAAACTGACAGGAAAACTCAGAATGTATATTTTAAATTTTATTTTATTATTATTATCATTTTTTAAAATATGACTGGAGAGAGAGAGAAAGTGAGAAAGCAAGCCTCCAGGTCCAGGACCCGAACCATGGCTGACCATGTGAGAGTCTAGCATATTAACAACCATGCCACCTGCCAGCCCTGGAAAATTCAGAGTATATAATGAGACTATATAATGAATTCAGTGAAAAAGACTGCCTTAATTCATCTATCATCACATTCTAACTGAAGATTTGAATATAACCTATGATTAATATTCAAGATTTACTCTTTAAGGAAAGAGTTTCACGGGGCCGGCAAGTGGCATGGTGGTTAAAGGCGCTGGACTCCCACATAGCCGACCATGGTTCAAGTCTCAGACTTGGTGGCTTGCTTTCTCACTTCCACTTTCTCTGTCTCTCTCTGATCAAACTGGAAAATAATAATAATAATAATAATAATAATAAATAAAAGTTAAATAAAATAATTCTTTAAAAAAAAAAAGTTTCACAACCTGAACTAAATGTTGTGTTTCAAAACTAGATTCTGTTGTCATCAATTTATTTGTTTAAAAAATATTAAGTTGTTAAAACTTCCTGTTTTCGGGACCAGCAGATGGCAAAATCGTTACGTCGCTGACTCCCACATAGTCAACCGTGGTACGGGTCCGCACATGGGGGCTTAAACTCATGCCAGGCACATATGCTTGCGTGCCCAGAGTACCGAGAGAGAATGGTGACAGGACTGAGGTGTGGCCATTCCCCTTAGAGGGCAATTTCTTGCTTTTTGTCTCTCTGTCTGACGAGTACATATGCCCTATAGCAAAAATCTTTCTCAAAAAAAAAAAAAAAAAAAAAAAAACTGCTCCTGTTTTCATCTTAACATCAAATACACAATTTTATGATACCCTGCCAATGTGACTTTTTTTTTTTTTTTTTTTTTTTTTTTTTTTTTTTTTTTTTTTGGGGGCGCGCGTTCTCCCGAACACAAGAGATATAGGGCGCATGCGTTCGCCAGAAAGACAGAGAGAGACAGAGAGACAAAAAGCGAGAAATCACCCCCCAGGGGGGATGTCCATGCCGCAATCCCTTCTCCTCCACTCTCCTCTCGGAATCTTGGGCATGCAAGCACATGCACCCTATGTGAATTTAAGCCACCGGGTCCGGGACTTGAACTGTGGTCCACTACATGGGAGTCCAGAGACATAGCCTTATACCAACTGCTGGTCCCACCAATGTGACTTCTTGAGACACACTTCTATGGATAATAAAGTAGTTACCCTTGTTGGAAAACACAAAAATCATTTTACAGGTGCTATATTAGATGAATCCAAGATTCGGCAATCCTGGAACAAACACTACTGGATGTTTTCATGTCACTGTTAAGTACAGACAGTTAATATTAGCCACATTTTCTTATTTTATAGGTAGGAAACAAGTCCAGGAACTTGAACACCTAAGTAAACAGCCCTGAATGTTTCAGTCAGCCATTGTCAAAATTAAAACCATAAAGTTCTAGGTTTACCTCTATGTGTAGAAAAATGCACTGAATTTAGTGGGAAAAAAAAAAGTGTAGAATTCAACTCAGTAGGACTTATGTCAACAAAATCTTAATTACAGCTGTATCTAGAACTGATGTGCTCCTAAAATGGTTTAAAAACCTTTGAAGCCATTTTTCTTTTTCTTTTCTTTTTTTTTTTATTGGAGAGGTTTTTGCTATAGGGCCCGTGCGCTCGCCAGAAAGAGAGAGAAACAGAGACAGAAAGCGAGAAATCACCCCCTGGGGGGATGGCCACGCCACAATCCCTTCTCCTCCTGTCTCCTCTCGGGATCTTGGGCATGCACGCGCACGCGTCCGGCGTTGAGTTTAAGCCACCAGGTCCATGATTTGAACCACGGTCAACTACATGGGAGTCCAAAAACATAGCTATTACACCAACTGCTGGGTCCCAAAAACCTTTTAAGCCATTTTTCTATTAGCTACTGAAGAATTAAAAATGGGAGTTCCTGCGACCAACAGGAACTCTCAGTCTTTCTGGTGAGTGCACACACCCTATAGCAAAAACCTCTCAAAAAAAAAAAAAACAAAAAAAAAAAAACAGAAACGAGAGTTCCCAAAAGAGAAGCTAGCATATTTTTAACTGAGGGCAGGTTGGACAGTGATGGAACCGAAGAGGTTCAATCTAACGTGACACTGACCCCATCTGGCTGAGACCTTACCATACCGGCCTGGATAGAAGATACTGAACAGTCACAGTGACGTTTTCAAGAACTTTCGCAAGTACCAACTCTGAAACACATTACATTCAAGAAAGATCAAATGTTGGGGCCAGCAGGTGGCATAGTGGTTAAGGCGCTGGACTCCCACATACCCGACCATGGTTGAATCCTGAACCCATAGGCTTAAAACTCACACTGGGCACATGTGTATGGGTGCCCAACATCCCTAGAGGAGAACAGAGGAGAAGGGATCGCAGTGTGGTCATCCTCCCTGGGGTGGTAATTTCTCACTTTCTCACTCTCTATCTCTCCAGCAAGCATGTGTGCCCTACAGCAAAAATCTACCTCAAAAAATAAATAAATAAATAAACCCAACCAAGAAAAATCAAATGCCTTTTTTTGCCGACTTTTCAAATTTTTTAAAAAATGTATAAAACATTAGGCAAAATTATTTTAAAAACAATAAATTCTTATTTAAGGAATATCCCAATTTCTGGTTCCTTCCACTGCTCACCAAGGCCACCACCACTTTCATTTCCTCCAAAGCCCAAGTCAAGATAGCCCTTTTTAAAAGAACTGGTGCTTACTGACCTGTCAGCTCTATTACGGTTTTTTCATATGGCCTCCTCTTTCTGCATGTGAACTATGGACACACTGGTAACTTCAAAGACTGCCCACCCAGGACCATTGAGATCCAAATTCTTCAAATAATTGAACTTAGGGTCATTTTTAGCATGGCTACATCTGCCTGTTTTTCAAATTCTGACATCCTCTCAACAGGAATGAGTTCATATTTGTCCCTCAGCATCTGTGAGATGTGGCAATACCTGGATTTAAAAAAAGACTATGAGGGCTGGCGTGGTGGTTAAGGGCACTAGACTCCCACATGGCTGACCATGGTTCGAGTCCTAGACCTGGCGGCTTTCTTTCTCCCCCCCCCCCCCACACACACTCTGTCCCTATCTGGTCAAATCAAATAAATAAATAAGTAAATAAAATAAAAGATAAATAAAATAATTCTTTTTATAAAAAAGAGTATGAGCTCTTTCATACTTTCGATCACTCTGCAACATAGCTCCTCCCCTCGGACCTAACAGTCCTGTGAGCAAGGCAGACCACATGCCACTCTGAGGCGTTTCCAGTGATGAGCGGCTACAGGAAAACCCCGTCAAGACAGACCTTGACTGCCTATAAGTTTTTCACCTCTTAAAAGTTAAGTTCTAGTGAGCTTAAGTTATTCAAAATTTAGACACTATTTTAAAGACATTTTACTCAAATCTTTTCACAAATAGCCTACCTTGAGACATTTTAGTAAAGAAGGCAAAAGAGGTGCTTGAGACAGCTTATGTTTCCATGACGGCTGCAGTCTTATGACATGCCCCAGCAGGGACAGGATGGATAAGCGAGTGGCGGCTTTGCCCACATACTCATTAATTTTGTCCAAGAGGTGCTGAAAATGTAAAAAAAAAAGAAAAGGGAAATCCTCAGATGAATGTAGAAGTTAACACAAACACAGGTACCTGTGACACACTCCGAGCTCTCAGGTCTTCCCCTAACAGGAAGCAAGGGGCAAACAGGTAAGATCAAATTCAAGGTTTTACACACCATGTTAGCAGATCAAACAGTGCTGCATTTGACCTGAGAGAAGGGAGCCAGCAAGCAGTCATGACAAAAGATCCCTATAACACAGCTCTGAAAGAGGAGAGGAGGCTCCTTCAGGGCCCCTAACCCTGAAGTATAAATAGGCTGCTGCTTACCATTACCACTGTCCCAAGCCTGCCGCAGACTGCTAAGGCTGGAAGAGGTTCTGACTGGAAGCAGCCACCTATTACTATAGCAGTCTGGCCTCCCTGGTTTGGCCCCCAATATAAATCAGATAGTAGCAGAAGTTAAAATTCAGCCAGAATAAAGAGAAAAAAACAAGCTGCACTGTAAAAGACACACAGATGCATGCTTCAAATTCTAAAACAGGAACCCAAGGCTCACCAAAGTCTGCAATTACAATGCTTTCACAGCTATTTACCACAGACAAAGGAAGTCACAAAGGAGCCCTCCAAGTGCTTGGGGCTGAGAAACAGGACTAAAATTCCTGTTCAAAGCGTAGGCTTAAAGATGGGTAACTTAAGGGTCAAACTGTCACTCCAGGATTATAGTATTGAAATTACAGGACTTCCCTAAATAAGATCTTAAAACCCTCTGAGTGTGTTTTGTCTTGTAAACTTTTTAGGAAAATGGGTGGTACAAACGATCTGTCTGTGTGGTTATAATCTGGGAACCATGCCCACTGGGGCACAGAAACCAAAGCACAAGCTCTAGACCAGCTGTACAGCGGGGCTGCACAGGAGCTGCTCTGCTGCCCCGACACCCAACACGCGAACACCCCGCTGCTCGTCCCGCGGTTACCTTGTCGTGTGGTTCTTGCAAGGTAGTCAGGATGTGCAACACCGGCTGCGAATTGGTTTCCAGGTAATAATCCACCAAGGTGTTCACAAGCACAGGACCTCGGTCTACGTAAAGAAACGGCAATTTTTAACAGTCCCTTCCTTCACCATTCTAAATTTATCTCAGATGCTGCCAGTCAAAAGATTCATCACCCCAAATTTCACGGAGCACTGCACTTTAGCTTCCTTAAATTTATTTAGGTTTAACAACAGAATAATTCCAAGCTTATTTGCCTAAACAGCCCTAAAAGCATATGAAATGCTATTATTTTCTTTTTTATTGCTTTTTTTTTTTTTTGAGAGGTTTTTTCGCTATAGGGCGCGTGCGCTTGCCAGACAGACAGAGAGAGACACAGAGACAGAAAGCGAGAAATCACCCCCCAGGGGGGATGGTCACGCCGCAATCCCTTCTCCTCCATTCTCCTCTCGGGATCTTGGGCACGTACGCACACGCGCCCGGCGTGAGTTTTAAGCCACCGGGTCCGGGACGCGAACCGCGGTCGACTACGTGGGAGTCCAGCGACACAGCCATTACGCTAACTGCTGGTTCCCTTTATTGCTTTTTAATAGTTAAAAAAAATCCACATCTATTGTTAAAAATCTAGATTGTATAAAAATTCAGTCAAGTATTGCTTAACAATGGGGATTCTTTCTGAGAAATGTGTCATTAGGTGACGCTGGCACTGTGTGAACATCAGTGTCCTCACACAAACCCAGACAGTAGAAGCCACCACACTTCAGCTGTGTGGTGCAGCCGATGGTCCCCCATTGTATATGTGGTCGTCACTGACCAAACGTTATCACGCAGCACCTGTCTGTACATGACATAAAGGTGAGAGTCCTCCTCACAATCTGCCTCCCGACCCCAGAAACGTGTATGTTCCCTGTCAAGCCCTTTCTACTTATATAATCTCATATACACACAATCAGCCCGCATGTTCATACAGACACGGTCTGTATACATGTGTGGTTCACTCACTTAACAATGTGCTATGGACGCCATCCCATGTCAGCCCCTAAGGCCTATTTCATTCTTTTAACCAACCTCCCAGTGTTCCACTCCATGGGTCTATGTAATTAACTGAACCATCTGCCTATTGAAGGAGACTTGGCTTTTTTTGAATTTTCACTATATTTCATTCAAGGGTATAAGATGATATAAGATGATATGGAGTCTTACAAATGGCCCAAGTGGTGTTTTTAAGTTGCTGACAGATACTCCAAAGAGGTGGAACACCAATTTATACTTCTGCCTACTTCTATGATCAATATTTAATTGTTGCCAACCTGATAAGCAAAAACCGGCATTATTTACATTTGGATTTCTCTGATTACATAGAGGTTAAGCATTTTTCTTATTAAAACTACATGCAGGGGCCAGGAAGTGGTGTAGTGGTTAAGGTGCTGGACTCCCACAGTGATGACTGTGGTTCAAGTCCCAGACCCAGAGGCCTGAAACTCATGACGGGTGCATGTGCACGTGTGCCCAAAATCCTGAGAGAAGAATGGAGGAGAAGAGATTGTAGCATGGCCTTTTGCCCCCTGGAGAGAGGGTGATTTCTTGCTTTCTGTCTCTCTGGCCAGCACGTGTGCCCTATAACAAAAATCTCTCGGAAAAACAAACAAACAAAAAACCAACACATGCATAATTTACAAATGAAATGACATATCTGGGATCTGCTTTAAGATACTAAGAAGAGTGATTGAAAACTAAGAGATAAGATGAAATGAGAATGGTAAGACACTGATGCTGTCTGGGGTTCACTGTCTGCATCCTGACCCTGTGTGTGTATACCTGAACTCTTCTATAAGAAAAGTCTAAGACATGCAGAATGAAACCACCAATTCCCGGTGGCTTAAAAAAGATGAAAACTAAAACTGGTCAGCAAGGTCCTCATCAGCTCTGGGTCGATCCTTTCTCTTTAGCACATCTGCTCCACTTACCAGAGTTGAGGCTCTCTCTGAAGACGGCTGTTACATCATCCCGCACACTCAGCATGGGCGAATCCAGCATGGAGAGGAGCTCCCCGACATTCGCCGGCTGGGCCATTCTCTTCCACAGATGCACTGCGCCAGCTCCAGGATGTGCATTAAAGGCTCAGGAAGCTCTTCATCAGGGCCACTACCAGACTGAGAAAAAAGTGTGAATAAGTGGCCTATTTCCCCACAGAAGTCCACCTGTGAGACAAACCAGAACGTGTGTTCAAGGCATGAAAAGTCTGGCCAGAACTTTGCTGATAAAAGATAGTGTATGAATCATTACACTTCACGAATTTATGAAGTAAGAAGAATTCTATGAAATGCAACAATCGGAAAGAAACCTAAAACTCTGATACCAATCAGAAACAATCATAGGAGATACTCAACAACAGGACCAAATCTAAGTTTTATTCCTATTTCTGATTCTACTTTGAGTATGGCTAAGACTATGTTCATAATCAAATCACTGATCTAAAAAGTAGAATTGCTGGGACCAGCAAGTGGCACAGTGGTTAAGGCACTGGATTCCCACATGGTCAACTGCAGTTTGAGTCCTGGACTGGGCAGTTTATTTAAAAAAACATTAAATAATGATAATAATAAATAAAAACTGGATGAATAATTATTTAAAAAAAAATAAAAAGTAGAAGTATTCCTAAAAACATACTATTTCCTTCTTGGCAATTCCATCAATGTCTAAAGTTAGTACAGCTGGGCTAGCCCCGTGGCCTAGCAGTTAATGGAGCCAGATCCTATATGAGACCATGGTTCAAATCCTGGCCCTGGCAGCTTGAGAAACATGCCAGGTGTGAGTGCATGAGTACCTAAAATCACAAAAGTATGGTGACATGGAGGAGAAGAAACTGAGAAATAACCACGCACCACTGAGGGGTGCTTTTCTCCTCACTCCACCTCTGTCTCTCTGGAAAGTGCACATGCCTTCTGACGATTTAAAAAAAAAAAAAAGTAAATAAGTATAATTGGTTAGGTCAAAGGTCCATTAAACCCAATACCTACCATGAGCCAAGAACCATTTCTGGTTTTGGTACACACTCCTTACCCTAGACCTCTATGACATACCCTAATGCCAGGGACTACAGGGAAGTAGCCATGGACAGTACTATCAGGCCAAGCCTTCGAGAACTCCTTTATGGCAATAGTGAAGCTGCCCTCCCCTTACAACAAAATGCAGACTATTCCCCAAGTGGTAGCACGCACATGTGTGATTATATCTCCCACTTTGGTCTCTATGGCTTTTGTCACTTTTTTTTTTTTTTAATTGCCAGAGAGCACATACACGTATTACCAAAAAATGGAGAGACACAGAAAAAGGGAAAAAGCACCCCTCTACGGGGCACGGTCACACTTCAAGCCTTTCTCTTCCATTTCTCCACCACGCTGAGGTTTGGGTGCACAGACACACACATGTCCAGCCTGTTTCTCAAACTCAGGGTTGTGCTTCGAACTGCAGTCAGCCACGTGGGATCTGCTCTCCTGTCACCACGAGGCTGTGGGTCCCTCTACAGCACATTTTTAAAATAAGTAACAACTACCATTTACAAGACAAGCACCGCATGGCTTCTACAAACTCCACTGCACACACTCCTTAAACTACTGCTGTGTGGTTGGCACTTCTGTCCCCACTGTACAGAGAGAAACCGGAGTTCAAGCTATCTGTTCTGGGTCACAAAGCTAGAGAAAGGCAAAACCAGGGGAGAACTGAAATTTGAACCCGATCTGCCTGATTCTAAAGTTCTAAGCCCTTAAAAATGTGACATTAACCTAACGTGTGGCTTCTGACTGTCACAGCAATTCTGTGAAGGAAGCAGGTACTACCATTTATTTTAAAAATAAGAAATAGCTATCCAAAGAGGATAAGTAATTTTTCCAAGGACACATGGTAAAGCAGACATTAGACGGCTCAACTCCCAAGGCCAATGACTGTCTACGTTATTTGCAGCAATATTAAAATATATTCCTATGTGTTTTCCCTTGAGTAAGCTGAAGTAGAAGTTCTTAGACTTGAGTGTGTCTTAAAACCACCTGGAAGCTTACTAGAAATGCATTTTTTAAAAGATTTATTTATTTTAACTTTATTCATTCAGTCATTTATTTTAATTTGACCAGGGAGACACAGAGAAAGAGAGGGAAAGTGAGAAAGCAAGCCATCGGGTCCAGGACTAGAACCGTGGTCAGCCATGTGGGAACGTCCAGCACCTTAACCACCATGCCACCTGTTGGCCCAGAGAAATGCATTTTTTTTTTTAAAGAATTATTTTATTTGAGGCCAGCAGGTGGCATGGTAGTTAAGGGTCCTGGATTCCCACATGGCCAATGGAGGTTAGAGCCCTGGACCTAGTGGCTTGCTTTCTCCATTTCGCTTGTTCTCTCTCCCTCCCCCCCCCCCCTCACTCTGTCCCTCTTGGGAAGGAATGAAGGAAAGGAGGGAGGGAGGGAGGGAAGGGAAGGGAAGGAGGCACAGAGGGAGGGAGGGAAGGGAAGGAGGAAGAAAGAAAAGAAAAGAATAGAAAAGAAAAGAAAAAAGAAAAGAAAAGAAAAGAAAAGAAAAGAAAAGAAAAGAAAAGAAAAGAAACCTAAAAAAAAAAGAAGAAAAAGAAGAAGAATTGGGGCCAGCAGGTGGTTAAGGTACTGGACTCCCCATGTTGCCTGCAGTTCAAATCCTGGGCCTGGTGGCTCACTTTCTCTCCCCCCCACCTCCATCTCTGTCTGATCAAGTTAAAATAAATAAATACAGTCAAATAATATAGCTGGTTAGGTCAGATATCTTTCCAAATAGTCTATAGAACAGAAGGCTAAAAAAAATAATATTTTATTCTAAAACACATTAGAACTTTTGGCAATAAGTTTTTCTCTTTTGGTTCTAAAACTGTTTAATCATATCCAGTTATTCTTATTTTTATTCACTTTTTTTTTTTTTTTTGGGCACATGCACTCACCAGAAAGAGAGAGAGAGACAGAGAGATAGAAAACGAGAAATCACCCCCCCAGGGTGGATGGCCATGCTGCAATCCCTTCTCCTCCATTCTCGTCTTGGGATCTTGGGCACGCATGCACACGGGCCCGGTGTGAGTTTAAGCAACCGGATCCGGGACTCAAACCTCGGTCAACTATATGGGACTCCAGCAACATGGCCATTACACCAACTGCTGGACCCCAGTTATCTGTATTTACTTATTATGTATTTATTTTATTTTATTTTTTGAAGAGGTTATTGCTATAGAGTGTGTGTGCTTGCCAGAAAGACAGAGACAGACAGAAAGACAGAAAGTGAGAAATCGCCCTCCAGGGGGGATGACCACGCCATAATCCCTTCTCCTCCACTCTCCTCTCAGGATCTTGGGCATGCATGCACCCCCAGCCTGAGTTTAAGCCACTGGGTCCAGGACTTGAACTGCGGTCGGCAGTATAGGAGTTCAGTGACACAGCCATTATGCTAACTGCTGGTCCCCATGTATTTATTTTTAAATTTGCTACATGGTGCATGTGCTTGCTGAAGAGAGAGAGAAAGACAAAATGAGAAAGCACCCCCAGGGGAGATGATCGTTTTGCAATCCCTTCTCCTCCATTCTCTTCTCAAGATTTTTGGGTGCACACACAGGCACCTAGTGTGCTTTTCAAGCTGCTAAAACCCAAACCGTGCAGTTGGCTATGTGGGATCCAACCACCATGCCACCTGGCTGGCCCTATTTATAATTATCTATAGAAGGCACAGGTGCTCACCAGAGAGAGAGAAAAAGCACCTCATGGAGTATGATCAGGCCATATTTTTTCTCTTCCACACACATGCTGGGTTGCCTTTTCAAGCCACTGGGGTCAGGATTTGAACCATTTCCAGTCACGTGGGATCAGCTTTCTAAGGATGGTGCTTAACTGCTAAGCTATGGGAACAGCCCAAACCTAATTTTTTTTTTTTTTGGAGCGGTTTTTGCTATAGGGTGTATGCGCTCAGAGAGACAGAGAGAGACAAAGAGATAGAAAGCGAGAAATCACCCCCCAGGGGGGATGGTCACGCCGCAATCCCTTCTCCTCCATTCTCCTCTCGGGATCTTGGGCACACACGCACACGCGCCCGGCGTGAGTTTTAAGCCACTGGGTCCCGGACGCGAACCGCAGTTGACTACGTGGGAGTCCAGCAACATCGCCATTACGCTAACTGCTGGTTCCCCATTTTTTACATTCTTAAAGCCCTCATGAGAACTGAATCATAAGCTTTGGAAATCAATACCATGACACTTATGTGCCCTAATAGAAAAACTGGCATGGTCCAGCAAGTACACAAGGGCAGGGGCAGACCACTTTAGCTGGACTAATAGGCGTGGTGTGGCGGTGGGTGTTGAACACACTCTACAGCCTCTGGACGACTGGCTAGGAAGCGTCACTGAAAGATAAGTGTACAAACACACTGAAGCAGGGCCAGGAAAGTCTCTCTCCCACCTGGGAAGTAACCCACTACAGAACACAGCGTTACAGGAAACGCTGAAAGACAACATGTGAGTGAATACGTCTCTCTACCCTACGTGCTAACACGACATCTCATCCAGTTCACTGCTATCTTTAGTGACAGCATGCCACGGTCCAGGGCAGAGATGATGCTATTCACATTGCAGAGCCACGACCTTCAACACCCATCCCAGCTCTAAAACCTGTTGCTCTACATGTCTTCTGGACTCAATAAATGGCATAGTCACTGGACTAAAGCAAGCATGCGGGTGAAATCCCTGGCTCTTCCCCCACACCACCCTGGATCCAACCCACCGGCAAATCCATGCATTTTACTCTATCTTTCACTATCACACCATCTAAGCCTCTATCCCCTTCTCTCTGGGGCACAAGAGAGCAGCAGCCTCCCCCGCCCAACTCTTCCTGCTGTCTTATGGTCCCCTACAATTCATTCACCGCCTAACAACCACAAGAGACAGACATTTAGAGATGAGAATCTATCACTCCCATTTACATCATCCAACAGCTTCCCATGGAACCAGTAAGAGCCAAACTCACGAGTGGTCACGGGCCTCCCTCTGCCTCTTCATTTCTCTGCTTCAGTCCTGGTCTCCTCCAACATAAGAAAACTGGTTCTTGCTCAGAGCCTTTGTACCCACTGGAACCTCTTCTCCAATAGCCTCATGTGGCTCTCTCTCTCAGGTCTCTGCTCAAGATGTCCTCATCTCTGAGTGGTCTCCCTTGACCACCCAGTCTAAAGTAGCAGGGGGACTGGGCTATTAGTTGCCACTTTGGGATGAAAGAGGTTCCCTAATCCTTGAGGAACCTTGAACTAAGCTTCAATTCTACTAGTGATCACTGGAAAGGACCATACAGAAGATCACAGTCTCAACAAGGATGCCAAGTAGGGATCTGGTGAAGCTCAATGTCAGTTTCTGGAATCTGACTTTGGCTTTGACCTTTAGAAGGTCTGACAGTTCGACAGTCAACTACCTACTTTTGCAACATTTCTGGTGCCCCTGCCCTTACATGGGTATCAGTATCTCTATGTTCATGCAGCTACCACTATACCTCTCTATAAAACATCAGGAACATGGGGACCAGCAGGTGGCGTGGTGGTTAAGGTGCTGGACACTCCCACATGGCCGACCAGGATTCGAGTCTTGAATCTGGTGGCTTGCTTTCTCACTTCCTCTCTCTCTCACTCTTACCCTCTGTCTCTCTCTGATCAAACTAAAAAATAAATGAATGAATAAAATAAATAATTATTAAAATTAAATTATTAAAAAAATTCAGGAACGTAAACAAGGAATGTATTTTGAAGATTTAACAGTAAGTTAACATCTGAATATCCATTTTTTTTTTGAGAGAGGTTTTTTTTTTTTTCCCCACTATAGGGTGCGTGCGCTTGCCAGACAGACAGAGAGAGACATAGAGACAGAAAGCGAGAAATCACCCCCCAGGGGGGATGGTCACGCCGCAATCCCTTCTCCTCCATTCTCCTCCCAGTATCTTGGGCACGCACAAACACGTGCCCGGTGTGGGTTTTAAGCCACCGGGTCCAGGACACAAACCGCGGTCGACTACGTGGGAGTCCAGCAACATAACCATTACGCTAACTGCTGGTTCCCTGAATATCCATTTTTGAATAAAAGTAAAACATTCTAGATAAAACACACAAGTGTGTGTTTTGTAAGTTGAAATTTTGTCAGTTTAAGTTTAAAATGTATAGTTATTATAAAAGTAAATGCTTTAGTGATTTTTATCTTCCAAGTAATTAAGAACTTTCAAATAGCTAAATATATTAATATTATGGGATACTAGGGTGTCCCCACAGTGCAGTAGTCAGATACCATGTATAGGGATTCCAATGGATTCTCATGGCCAATCATGGCTCAAGTCCTGGCCCTGATGGCTTGAAAAACATGTCAGTGTTTGTGTGCCCAAAATCTTGACATGGAGGAAATGTGGAAGAAAAAGAAATGCAAGGTGATCACATCCCATCAGAGGTTACTTTCTGTCTGTCTGTCTTGCTCTCTGGGAACTATACACATTCTCTGGTAATTAAGAACATACAGGGACCAGCAGTTGGCATAATGGCTATGTCGCTGGACTCCCATGTAGTCGACCGTGGTTCAAGTCCCGGACCCAGTGTCTTAAACTCACACCAGGTGCGTGTGCGTGCATGTCCAAGATCCCGAGAGGAGAATGGCTTGCAGCGTAGCCATCCTCCCGAGAGGGTGATTTCTCACTTTCTGTCTCTCTGTCTTTCTGGCAAGAGCATGCGCCCTTATAGCAAAAACCTCTCAAAAATAACAAAAACAAAAACAAAACCATAAAATTTGACAACTAAACTGCAATGATAAGAAATGTTTAATAGAACCTGAGGGCTGGCAGCACATGGCCAACCACATGATTCAAATCCCAGCCCAGCAGCTTGAAAAACAAGCTGGACGTATGTGTGTGCCTTCCCCAAATCCCAACCAGGTAGAAAAACGAAGAAGGGATTGCAGTGTGACTACAACCCACTGGGGGGTGCTTTCTCCTTCTCTGTCTCTCTCTGGAGAATGAACGTACTCTCTGGACAAGACAAAAATAATCATTATAAAGACTCAGGTTTTATTTGTACATGTTATATTGGTGATATTCAGCCTTGGGCCCCAATGATTTGAACTCTTGATCCTTTGTCCTTGAGTTGAAATTCACATTCAGTAGACTTCTAAAAAAGGGACAGTGGAACCAGCAATTGGTGTAATAGCTATATATTCATTGGAATCCTATGTAGTCAACCGCGGTTCGAGTCCCAGACCTGGTGGCTTAAACGCACGTGAGGCATGTGTGCCCAAGATCCTGAGAGGAGAAGGGACTGTGGTGTGGCCATTCCCTCAGGGGGTGATTTCTCACTTTCTGTCTCTCTGTCTCTGTTTTTCTGGGGAGTGCACGTGCCCTATAGCAAAAACCTCTCAAAAAAAAAAAAAAAAAAAAAAAGGACAGAAAAAGTATACACAAAATATTTAAAAACAAAAAGTCATACTTGAGGGAACAGCAGATGGTGTAATGGTGGTTACGTCGCTGGACTCCCATGTAGTCAGCCAAGGTTAGAGTCCCGGACCTGGCGGCTTAAAACTTAAACTTGGCACGTGTGCATGGTTGCCCAAGATCCGAAGAGGAGAATGGAGGAGAAGGAATTGCGGCATGGCCATCCCCCTGGGGGGTGGGGGGAGCTGATTTCTCTCCTTCTGTCTGTTTCTCTCCAGCAAGTCCACATGCACTACAGCAAAAATCTCTCAAAAAAAAAAAAAATAAAAAGTCACACTTAGAAATCTTCCAACTTTTCTTGTCAGGTAGTCTACGATCTGTATTAAGTTCCTACTTAAGAACTGACATGACTGGGACCAGCAGTTAGCATAATAATGGCTATGTCGCTGAACTCTCATGTAGCCAACTGCGGTTCGAGTCCCGGACCCGGTGGCTTAAACTCACACCAGGTGCGTGTGCGTGCGTGCCCAAGATCCCGAGAGGAGAATGGAGAAGGGATTACGGTGTGGCCATTTCCCCTGGGGAGGGGGGTGATTTCCCACTTTCTATCTCTCTGGCTCTGTCTTTCTGGTGAGCGCACGCACCCTATAGCAAAAACCTACCCCCCCAAAAAAAAGAAAGAACTGATGTGACCATTAAGGCAAAAGTCCGTCCTTTATTTCACAATTCTTATGACACAGGTGAGGCAGACAGTGACAGAATACAGTAAATGAAAACCACTGAGCCATGAAATGAATCACATCAGTGGTCCACCAATAAAGACAGTAGACCAAATCCTTCCCCTATATTCCTTGGCCCTTCTTGGACATACACAACTCTTATATTTGGCACTTAAGCTGGTAAACTTGAAATTACAGTTCAGTGGTTGATTAGGGTACTTGGACTAAATCCATACCCACAGAAATGCCAGAGCTTCAATATTTACGAAGTGTCTATTATAGGACTGTGAAAATCCTTTAATTCCTAAAAACCACTATAGAATATAATTTATCCCAAAGAACAAATTTAAGACCATTAAAAGACACAACCACGTTAAGATGTAAAAGCAGATCAGTCAGTGGCATGGTGTTAAGGTGGTTCAATCCTACATGGCCAATTGTGTGGTTCAAGTCCTGGACCAAATGGCTTAAAAGACATACCAGGCACGCATGTGTGGTGCATGCCTAAAATCTTAAAAGGAGAAATAGAGAAGGGATTGTGGTGTGATCATCCCCTGTAGGGGTACTTTTTCACTGTCCCCTTTGTCTCTCTCCGGTAAGTGCATGTGTCCTCCAGCAAATTAAACATATAGAAAAAGAGATGCAAACGTTCACACACTAGCTCAAGGTTCTCTGCCTCGGATGAATCCAGAAGCACCTGGAGTGCCTACAGCGTCCTGAAGCTCAGACCCTACTCTGGCAAGTGAAGGGTCAGACACCACACCTGGCTGGTTTTTAAAAACCCAAGTGGATTTCTAGGGGCGGCCAGGGTTGAGAACCTCTGCACTAGCTAAATTTCTTGCTCCAGCACACACAGGCCTCCATGTAATCTAGTGGGTGTAACCAAACTTTGCTGTTAGACAGAACCAATTTGTGTCATAGGTCCACCACATACTAGCTATACCACCTTTGGAAAATTCCATCTTTACGTCCAATTCCTTACCTGTAAAATGGGGGTACACCAAAACCCGTACAAAAAATGAACGTATACACATTTCAAAAGGGTGGCTGTGAGGACGGAAACAAGAGTGCACATAGTGCATGAGCATAGTGCCTGCCGCCAAACAGAGGAGGACAAGTCACCAGGTGACCCGACAGACTACTTCACGCCAGCATGGCCCAGCTTCTGGCAGGAAGCTAAATCCATGCATGTGAACTCCCTGAGTGCAAAGAAGTCTCTGTGCACTAGCACACCACGGGCAAGAGAAAGAATACCCTCCTATTCTCTCCCAGCCCCCGGGCTGAGCTATACCTTACCTGTTCTGGGGACAATTGATATTTCAGTTTCCAGCGCGGTCAACCCGGTGTCTCTCATGGTCGCTGAAGAGAGAAAACATATGTTTGTATATAACACTCCTACAACGAGGTAAAATCCTAGATGCAGTACAAGGGAGTTTAGGGTCCATCTAGTCCAACCTCCTTCCTACTCTGTCCTGACAGGGGGCCATCCGGTTTCCACTGGAATGAACATTTACAGAGTCACTGGAGTATGTGTCTCTCCCTGTCTACATTTCTCAACAGCTGGTTGCTGGAAAATTCTTTATATTGTGCTGAACTTATCATCTCTGCCTTTTGCTAAGTGTCTATTAGAGCTATAAACAAATGGGTAGGCTCCAGAATTAGAGCCTTCTGAGTTGAAATCCAAGTTCTGCCACTTCATAGCTATGTGCCTTTTGTCTGTTTACCTAAGCCTAACATCTAACCTTAAGTTACCTATTTGCAAAGTGAGATTAATAATGGCATCAACCAGGGCCAGCAAGTGGCATGGTGGTTGAGGCACTGGACTCCCACATAGCCAACCACAGTTCAAGTCCCAGACCAAGCAGCTTGAAAATCATGCCAGGCACATGTGCATGCTTGCCCGAAATCCCAAGAATGGAGGAGAAAGGACTGTGGCAAGGCCATCCCCCCAGGGTACAATTTCCCACTTTCCCTGTCTCTGTCCCTCTTCAGCAAGTGCATGTGCCCTATGACAAAAACCTAAAAAAGAAAAAAAAAAAAAAAAAAAAAAAAAGAAAAAAGAATGACATCGACCTTGGAGGACTGTGTGGATTAGATGAGCGGATGCTTCCCGTGGTCCTCAGCAGTGTGGGGCACATGTGATTACTCAAGGAGCTCTGGGAGGCAGGCCCAGCACCAGGGACAGTGAGAGGCTCCAAGTACTTAGTGGGCCTGCCTCACCTTGTTGCCAGCCACGGTCCCTTTCCTCTCTATTACCTGCCTCACTAGGCTTTCAGGTTCCCTGACAAACCCTACTGCTTCCTCCTCGTGGGGCCACACGCATGTTGTCCTGGTGCCTAACAGCCTCTACCCTTGCCTCCTAGAAGCAAACTCTTTGTCCTTAAAATCTCCACCTAAATTTTCACTTCAGACACCTCTCTAGATATTCATTCACCTCCTTCCCACTGCCACCCACCCAGAATAAGGTAGGTCCCTGTTATAAACTCTCAGCAGCCTATCCTTCATGTCACAACCCAGTTAAATAAGTGTACTGAGTGATGACGCGTTTTCCTCGCTAGAAGTTACAAGGAAAGACCATAGCTTATTCAGTACTGTATTCCATAGTACTGTGCCTGGCACTTGCAGACTGAATGACTAAGGGGTTAAAATATTTCTCAAATGTAAAAAAGTCTAATTCTGCCTTCAGACAGCGCAACCTAAGTTTAACCCTATAAGATAGACATAAAATTTGTAAACAGCTATTTCTTGCTTCCCCATTTTACCCTACTTTCTATCCAAATTAGCTCATATTAAATACCCATGCTAAAAATTAGTATATATAAACATATTCCAGTTTGTTTTTAAAATACGAGCCCTTCAGGACCAGCAGATGGCATAATGGCTATGTCGTTGGACTACCATGTAGTCAACCGCGGTTCAAGTCCCAGATCCAGTGGCTTAGACTCGCTCCGGGTGCACGTGCATGCCCAAGATCCCAAGAGGAGAATGGAGTAGGGACTGCAACATGGCCATCCCTCCTGGGGGGTGATTTCTCGCCTTCTGTCTCTCTGTCTCTGTCTTTCTGGTGAGCACACACACCCTACAGCAAAACCTCTCCAAACCAAAAAAAAAATATGAGCCCTTTGGGCAATATTTAGGTATGATCTGAGCATTAGACTGTACACTCCATAAGGATAGGGACCATCTGTTTGAGACAGTCATGGTCTATCTAAACACCCGGCAGACAAGAAGGAAATATACCCATTAAGGTCTCGCTGGCTGCTTTGGTAGACATTCTGGGGTTGAATGTGGAGTGGGAAAGGTAAGCCTCCTATGCTCTCTGTATATGCCTAACTACTCAGAGCATAGAAAACCCTGTAAACAAGCTCTTAAATGTCTAATCCTGGTCAACGACAAACTAGTGGACTGAAAGAGCAGGATGGTGGTGTGATGCTCTGCAACGCTGACCTACTAGGGAAGATTCTGGGTTCACATCCAAAGACATCACTGCCCCCCAGTGCACTGGGCACATACATGCCCATCATCAGAGGCTGGCTTAGGCTGGAGGTGGATCACAGTTTCAAGACCCTGTTGGGGATGCTGGCTCTGTTTCTCTGTTACTCTTGTTCATGGAAGAAATATATAAAGCCCCCCCAAAAAAGAGCAGACTGAGCAATCCTCTAGCAATTAGGATCTCCTATGCCAGAAGACTAGGCAATCACACTTCCACATGGCAAGGCGAGAAGCTCCAGTGGCGCTCCAGGCGTGAGCAGTGCTGCTGGCAGCCTGGCGCTCTGGAAGGCCAACCAGACCATTCAGACAGGGAGTGCTTGCCCGGCTGCACTCCTCCACCAAGTCAGGGCTAGACATGAAGTGCAGGAGCCTCTAATCTTCATCATCTTAAAGTCAGCTGTTAGTCCAGTGAGTCACACAGACTTCCTCCAGCAATTAATCCCAGTGGGATCTTTCACCTGAGCATAGCCAGGGCAAGGCTAAAACTAGGATACACACAGGATGAAAGCTCGTAGCCCGACCAGACAGACAGAAGCACTACCACAGGAAATCAGAGTATTTCCGTCCATGTTCGATGGTAAGACTTTTAACATGTTTACCGCTCCACTAAGAAGAAACAGTAATGGTACTAAATCAGCATCAGTCTGTGCTGGCGTGTTGAAGGCCACCTGCCACTATGTGTATTTGTAAGTGTCTGTCCACTTATTCACCTGTCCCTAAATCCTGCCTGTTGGGGAACTACCAGGCACAATCATTCTGGCTAGTAAAGTGAGATGTGGTGTGTGACCCTCCTGATGAGAAGTGGGGGATAAGGATGGAAACAACAAAACAACAAGTCCATGTACATAATTTCAAAAGCCAAATAAAAAAAGGAATATGTCCCCATGTCTCAATTTCCCCCCTTGATAATTGACCCAAAAATTGTGTTCTCATTTATTAAAACGTGCACTATTATAGCTTCACTTCTACAATCTTTTTGAATGAAAATAAAGGGTAAGTTTGTGGAAGACGATGAGGGTGCTTGCATTTAAGAATTTTGAGATTAAACAGAGCCTAGATCAATTTGCTTTCACAGTTCTTTTGAATTAATGACATTCTTTAGGTGATTACAGACAGATAGCTTATGTGTCTGGGATTACACATGAAGTCCAGTGTAGCAGCAATGTATGGCTGTCCTTAGCATGACCTGCATACCTTTTTTTAAACATATCTCTGCCCTAGGCAAGATGCATCATGAGCTGCAACAGTGCTTAAAAACTGCATGTACTTTTATAAAATATTAATGCCAGGTACCCAAAATGCCTCAGGAAGTATCTTATCTGAAATTACCAGTTGACTATTTAGACTTTGGGAAAACCAGTGTTGTGACACATGGCCCAGAAATTAACCTCTAAGACTCCTGAGACTGTAAATCACGTCAAATAGGTAACTGCATATGAGTCTGCCTAAGATAATTCTGTACACATTTGTCTTTGATGGCCAAATGCAACTATGAGTGTAAATGAGACATGTCTACATAACTTGCTTCCATAGTCAAGCTTTTATCTATAACAGCAGACAGTTCAGACACAGGTCCAGGCACAGGTAACTACTTCATTATTAGCTATCTGGACAGAGCAGAGGGTTATACTGTTATGCTAGTATTTAGCTCTGGCTCAGAACGCTCAGACCATTTTGAGTAACATTCTACCAAGTGAACCCAGGTGCCTTCAGCACCAATGCATCCAACAGGGTAAGGTGCGTGCCCCACTTCTCCTTCCCTATCAAGGCACAGAAGGCAGGAGGGGGGTGAAAAATATTACTTAGCAGTGAGAGTAAAACAGCTGATGGAAAACCTGCCTAAATGTGCAGTGACAAGCGATTCAAATGGTCTCAGTAGTGGTCATCCCACTCAAGGTCAGGAATACTGGGGCAGGAGAGCTCCAACTTGCCAGATTGTCCACTCACAACTTCTTCCATCAGGGCCTTAACAGTTTGCTAAAGCTTATGCCAAAGGTGAAGAATCCTCTAGCAACATACATGCCTGGAGGGTAAGAGCTTGATTGTGGTAAGGTGTCACTCTTCTTTTTTTTTTTTTTTCAGTTTTTGCTATAGGGCACATGTGTTCACCAGAAAGAGAGGAAGAGAGAAAGTGAGAAATCACTCCCCAGGAGGGATGAAACACCAGTCCTCTCGGGATTTTGGCCACGCAAGTACGCATGCTCAGCATGATATTCAAGCTGCCAGGTCTGAGCCTCGAACTGCAAAGTTGGCCATGTGGGATCCAGTGCCTTAATCTCCATGTGACCTGCTGGCCCAGGTGTCACTCTACTATAAATGATTATGTTTTCACTTTCTATTAGCACGAACAAAATTATTTAGCAAGAACATATAGGTCATATACACATCACATATGTTTTAAAAAGTCACTACATAGAGCTGCTCTTAATAGAAATAGAACACACATGGGACCAGCAGTTAGTGTAATGGCTATGTCACTGGGCTCCCATGGAGTTGACCACGGTTCAAGTCCTAAACCTGGTGGCTTAAACTCATGCCGGGTACGCGTGCATGTGTGCCCAAGATCCCAAGAGGAGAATGGAGGAGAAGGGACTAAGGCATGGCCACCCTCCTGGGGGATGATTTCTCGCTTTCTGTTTCTCTGTCTCTGTCTTTCTGGCGAACGCACACACCCTATAGCAAAAACCTCTCCCAAAAAAAAGAAAAGAAATAGCAAACTGGGACTTCCTCAGGCTTCAAGTTTACAGGGTCAAAACAGAAATATTATCGGGAGGAAAGGCACAGGGTTTGACAGTCCGGATGATGGCTCTTAAAAATATTGTCCTGGGGGGGCCGGCAGGTGGTGTGGTGGTTAAAGGCGCTGGACT